ATTGACATACAGTATAATAACGTATATATTTAGGCTCGAAATCGGGAAAAGTTTCACTATTTGGAGTACAAGTGACACTCGATTGGGCTATACCTGAACAGAGAGCCGACAAACAGCTAATGGATAGGGTATGTCATCATTTAATTGACTTAAAATATACAAACATTTTGACACTATTTGAACGCTATTCGTGATAATTAGGTGACAGTTCTTTTCGTCCGTTACTTGGGATCTGAAGCCACAGAGCATGTGATCAAAGAGTTCTTTTCGTTGAGATATCAATTGGGTGTCCAAAGAGTGAAACGAATCAAAAACTATGCTTTCATTCACTTCAACAACAGATCTGATGCAGAGAAGGCTTTCGAGTATATATCAAGTGAGTGAACACTATCTAAATCGCAACCGATTCACGTCTCCCTCTGATTGCATTCAAATTAGATTTGGATTTAACAAAAACGCCATTAGGAGAAGGGAATGAACCAATTGAGGTAATGTGGGCCAAACCACCCCCAACACAGCCCCCAACACAACCCGCACCGCCAACCCGTCACAACCGGTCATCTTATGATCAATTGCCGACCAAAGACACGTTAAATCCAATGGCTAACCCTTTTCGGCCTCCAAATGGTTGTAAGACTTCATTAAATAGTATGTATTAATTGAAATATGTTTACAGATTGTTTAGATCAATATCCATTATGTTATAGCTTTTAATAAACTTATAATTAAAATATTACTTTATTTAATTCTAACAGAAATGGATTTCAATGGTTACATAAGAGGCCAAGGATTTAACAATTTGCAGCTTAAATAGTATTCCTTTAAATTGATTGTCTATATTTTGCTTTTCACACATGATCATTTCAAATGCTAATTGTCTTTTATTTAGTATTTAATTTTTATACGAATCATATTTAAAATAATTTATCATTTATAGATCAATTTTTTGCAAACTTTACTTATTATGTTTATGTGACGAGAGATGGCCTTATGTTACACACAGCGCCAAATTCACTGTACTTTTATATCATACTTTTATAAGTGAATATAATTATTTTTACTCTCTTTTAATTGGATTACATTTATTGAATTGTGTTTTAATTTTAGTTTGTATTTAATTTTTAAAACGTAAATAAAGTGATTATTTTAATGTATCGATCAATTTGTAATTTCACATTTACAATATGTTATACCGTATAACTTATACGATACTTTATCTAATTTATAATAATATTAATAGTAGTTAATTATACAGTAGTTAATTGAAAAAAATAGTTCTACAAAAATATTAATAATTTGATGAGAGCAGGGATATCCATATCCATCTTACCATGGTTACCAACCAAAAATACATTATTATCATTTATAAGTCATTTTTATCTAAATTATTTTCTTGATATTACCTTACTAATTTAGAAGTGGTTTGAGTGTGGTACACTTTAACTTTATAAATACAATATGTTATGATTTTTATCAGTTTTTATAAGTTTTTGATTGTAATTAAAATGTGGTTTATTTATATTGAGAAAAGTTTGTAATACATGATAAGATATGATCTTTTGAGGCGTCAAACAGTCTGCAAAACTATGTTAAATGATTTTTATTTTTAATTAGTTATAACCCAATTGAACACAATTCTCTCAACTATTCCCTACAATAGTTTGTAATATAAAAACAATATTTTTACACAAATACAGTACATTAATAGCGTTAAAATATTTTGTTGCCACACAGTCTCTCAAAACCTCCCGACCCTTATATACATGTATATGATATGCACAACAACTTATAGGTTTTCCAGTAAACATACGATCGCCTCAATAAGAAATATTCTAACTATAAAACTGCAAAATTCCCACTCAATGCGAGAGAGAGAGAGAGAGAGAGAGAGAGAGAGTATTGTAACGCATTTTAAACATGGTCATTTATCAACTTTAGTTCTTACATTATTCAGTGTTTAATTTTTATGAAATGTTTGAATATATGGAACACAGATGTGAAGAATAAGCAACGAATAGCCGTTGAATAAAATGTCAATCAATGGGAAACGTGTTTGGCTTATAATAAGTTGAAGGTTAAGGCAATGAAGTTTGTGGTCCATAACTATTCTTACATAATAAATGATTTTAAAATTATTTACGAATAGCCGTTGAATAAAATGTCAATCAATGGGAAACGTGTTTGGCTTATAATAAGTTGAAGGTTAAGGCAATGAAGTTTGTGGTCCATAACTATTCTTACATAATAAATGATTTTAAAATTATTTTCCAAAAACAGGTGGGTTTACATCTCATCCCATGAAAAGTTATTTATTTCACTTTTTTAAACTTCAATGTTTGATCCAAACTCTCCACAAAACGTTATATCTTTAATAATTTTTATAATTATTGTTTTATTGATTAAACAACATTTCGTTTCGATTGCAAATTTTCTGCTAAATTTATATAGGTGATTTATCTGAAATGAATTTTATTGTAATATACATTTTACATCGATATATTGTAACTAAAAATAATAATGTGTTATATAAATGTTACACTATAGAAGAACGAGAAATTTGATACATTAATAATTGTCATAATGTATAATAATATAATGTACTTTATTTGACTCGGATATAAATTACAAATTAATAATTAATATGCAATACTCTATTTGAGCCAAATTATTAAAGAATAGTTTTGCGCTCTTATCTTGTATTGTATAGTATTATGACATGAATGATGTGAAACAGAGTTTCCTTTTAAATAAAAGGCAAATATAATATAATATGAATGTAATAAATACTATGAATGCACGCAATGGTAAAAGAAGTGCACAAACATAGGGTAGTGTTGGTCACGGATGAGAGTCTCAAATTAGCTGAAGAGCCAATTATATGCAAATTAAGACCACTCTAATTATGCCATAATGTAATTGAAATAATAATATGTTTATTCTAATATTCAATGAGTTTACTCCTCATAAGTAATTGTTTACTACTTTTTTGCTTAATAAAAATGTTATGCTTTCATAGCTTTTTAAATATACGTATATTCAAAGCTAAATCAGACCCCATGTTGGGGACCACAGCCTACTCTGGCCTGGGTTTATAACAATCAGTAAACTGTATCACTGTTTCAAGTTGTGATTGAAATTTCATTATATTTTACATTATTATAATTTATAACTCATTATAATAACTTATATTCTTTCTTATTATTATAATTGTAGGTTTGGTTCAAATATTCAAGTTAGTTCATTTCATATATCAAAATATATTAATTTTTTGGTGTTGTTATAAGTTACAGTATAACTATATACAGACATTTTCTTAAATCTTCATTATATTTTATAGATTATTTATATATTTGAAATAACTTGAACACAGAATCCAATTGGTTTTGTTTGCGAGTAAGCGTTAAAGTATTAAATAGTTATTTGAAGAATGAATTGAGTCTTATTTTAATGACTGAAAGTGTTTGGAAAGACAATACTAGAGGAGAAACCATTCCATTCCTAACGTCCGGATCTCCCCTTCTATAGAGTATAAGCCATTCAACAATTCTTCAGTTCAATTGTCTTCTGTTTAGCTCTTCTCTGAGTCCCAAAAGAATGAAAACAAATGTAAGCCTGGGTTTATAACAATCAGTAAACTGTATCACTGTTTCAAGTTGTGATTGAAATTTCATTATATTTTACATTATTATAATTTATAACTCATTATAATAACTTATATTCTTTCTTATTATTATAATAATTATTGTAGGTTTGGTTCAAATATTCAAGTTAGTTCATTTCATATATCAAAATATATTAATTTTTGGTGTTGTTATAAGTTACAGTATAACTACATACAGGCATTTTCTTAAATCTTCATTATATTTTATAGATTATTTATATATTTGAAGTAACTTTAACACAGAATCCAATTGGTTTTGTTTGCGAGTAAGCGTTAAAGTATTAAATAGTTATTTAAAGAATGAATTGAGTCTTATTTTAATGACTGAAAGTGTTTGGAAAGACAATACTAGAGAAGAAACCATTCCATTCCTAACGTCCGGATCTCCCCTTCTATAGAGTATAAGCCATTCAACAATTCTTCAGTTCAATTGTCTTCTGTTTAGCTCTTCTCTGAGTCCCAAAAGAATGAAAACAAATGTACAGAAGAAGAAGAAGAAGACCCCACCCGGAGGTCCATTAAGATGACGTCTCTATGCCCTCCAGCCATACCTTTCTCTGCATTACAACTTTGATATACGATTTCTTCTAAATGAACAACAAGACTATGAGAATGGCATCTCTCTCTCTCTCTCTCTCTCTCTCTCTCTCAACTATTCCCTACAATAGTTTGTAATA